AATTCTTATATATATATATATATATATATATATATATATATATATATATATATTGAAAGCGATTAGGGAAATTAATTAAAAATACGTTAGAAATTTGTTTCTTTCAGCGGCCTTCCTCTTGTTTCATTTGGCTTTAGTTCTGGGTAGGTAGCATTTGTCTAGGGACAATAGTCCCGAACCCCATCCCAACGGGGGGGAGGCGAAACGCTGCCGAAATTTTAGTAAATTCCCCAATTTTATTTCTACCCCTAAAAAACATCAAACTCGGAGGGCTTATATATGTATTGATCTTTAATATATATAAACTAAGAAAGGAATTTTATCTTAACCAAATACATTTTTTTTAATTTATAATTGAAAAATACAAAAGAATTCCCTAGAAGAAGAAGGGAAAGAGACGCTGCGGTAACCTGGTTTCGGGTTAACCTACTAGCTTGTTCCCGAAGGCGTGAGGCAAGCGACGRGAATTTTYAGTTATTAATCTACACCTCCCTCTTGCTGCGTTCTCTCTAGCCGCCAGTTGAATGTGGCCGAGGGTGCAAGTAGAGGTCTATGGGGCTACCATTGACTGAGACTTGGAGCCCCCTGAACTCATAGAGAGGGATCTGGTCGAGCTCACGATCCCCGGGCGCAACATTCGACACGCTGACGACCAGTTTGCGTGGAGGTCCATAATCCTGTCCGAGGACGTGTGGCTTTGGACGTACAGAGAGCACCGCCCGGGGCAAGGAGTGGGCGTAGTGAGAGCCTACTTGTATTTGGGACCGGGTGCGGTCAGGGAGGCCGTGGTGGGCCTCGCGACGACAAGGACTAGTGACGCAGTTAGCAGGGCGTTACGCTACCTAGGGCATGAGGTAGCTGTCTTCCGAGCGGAGGACTCGAGTGACCCGTTGACGCTATTTCACGGACGACCTCCTCTTGATATCACGGGCGAGCTGGTGGTAGCACGGGACGACTTTTTCCCGTACARCGTTAGGAGCCTGCGGGCGATAGTTCCGAWGTTCGTAGTAGAGAGTGTCTTTGGAGGTATTGGTGGAGTGGTCGAGACATACCTGGCTTATCAGGATCTCAAGATCCTGGCGAGAAGACCTGCCGACCTGRACTATATCTATTATTCGCTYGCGACYGGTGGRCCWCGTTGGGRAGACGAGAGGGTTCARCTTATASAGCTGATCCRCTCGATAGACGACGAGTGGCCCCAGTCTCCGTGCGTTTGGGATTGGCTGGACCGTGAGCTCCGAGCAGGCCCCGAGTACGTGACCTGCATCGGGCGGCTCTTCTCAGACGACTGGGGGAGCACAGGATGAAAACAAGTAGGAACGTCGAGCCGTCCCAGGCGCTCCCAGCACCAGCCATGGCTGCCTACTCCGCACGAATCGCAGGTTCGTCGACCACTGCGGAAGAACACAGGATGCACTCACACAACAGGGAATCCGCTCATGAGGTCGATGCGCTATGGACGTCAGCGGACGACAAGCAAATACCAGGAAGCGAAGACTCCGCCTCCAGGTATGGGATGGGTGAGAAGGGGGCAGGCGGTTCGGTGGGGATGGCGCCGGCACAGACACCGCGTCCGCAGTCCGCCCCAACGGTCACATCGCGGGTTTGTGGTAACCGGGACTGGTACCACCCCCAACGAATACAGCGGCGCCCTCGATTCCCGATCGTCGGTCGCCCAAACGCCGCCCAGAGTCGCCCTCTGCCGGACCGTGCTGGTTCCTACGCTCCACGGCCAGTCACTCGGACAAACCAGCACTTTCCATTTTGGGACGCTTGGCGGCCACGTTTCCTATTACGGTAAACTTTCTCAACATTTTGCCGCAAAACTCCCTCCGCTGTGGGGTCCCCGCAAAAAGATTTCCAGACTTTCCAAAACTCTTCTGACGACGGTTCTGCGGAAACGTCTTTTCCAACACTTTTCCTGTGGGGTCCAGGCCTTAGTCTCATTGATTTGGCTACCTTAGGGCTGCGTTCCCCGCGCCCACGCGGTAGACAATGGCTGCGCCTCCCTCTTCATTGTCCCCCACTGCAGACGGGATGACACACAGCCTGCTCACACTCACATTCGCACCCGTGATAGCTAAACACTCTGCTATTACCGGTCAAAGTTTTCAGGCAGACTATCGCCGTTGGTTAGCACTAAGGGCCTCGTTCCACACCACTCCACTTTAGAAATACTTGAGAAATTCCTGGTTCCACACTGCACTGCACTTGAGTCTAATCGCGATTAGGCTTCCCGCCTCTCCCGGCGCCCGCCAAAAAAGTGAAGTGCGGCTCAAGTGCGGCCCAGGCGAATAGGTGATTTTTTCAAGTCACCTCTCCGGGCACACTTGAGCCGCACTTCAAAACGGCGCAAGTGAGAGCCAGGAGGCGGTTGTAGGCGCTGCACGTTCCCCCCGTTTTTTCTTTTTTTAGTTTTACATCCCCCCTTCCCCGCCAACAGCCTCTGCCACTTTCCGGCTCCTGTTTCGAGTGTGGCGTGGAGTGTAACGTCGAACCGTGCCAGGCTCGAGTGTTTTTTAATGACGATTACCCTGTGACGCAGCTCAAGTGCCGCACTTGAAATTGAAGTGGAGTGAAGTGGTGTGGAACGAGGCCCTAAGTGTGCCGCGGACAATTATGGGCCTCTAACCCGCAACCTCCTGGGCGCCGCTTGCATGCCTGTCCGCCTTGGCTACGCCGCTGCCTGCAAATAAAAAAGAGGCCCGCGCCGTCTGCAGCCCTGTTCCCCACGTCGGCGCTGCGGGCTGCGAACCCGCGGCCTCGCGGTATGTCAGTATAACACACTATTTCACGGCCTGTGACCAGCAGACGATCTGGGCCCTGCGTTTCCATGCCGCGACGGTCTAGATTCGCTGCTGATTATTTCCTGTGTCATGAACTCACAATGTGGACCGTCCTCGGCAGCGTACCTGACGGCCCAGATTGATCGTTTTGGAGTCGATCGCCCCGGCATCAGGCCGGTAGGCCCTGGCTCGGCAATACCGCGCGCGGCACTCCCCAGGCCATATTTTGGCCTGTGCACAGTAGCACCGGCCGCGGCACTCCCCAGGCTATATTTTGGCTCGTGCACGCGCGGGGCGGACTTCTGACTCCGAAATTATACTCGGCTACGCTCGACTTCCATTTCGGGACATCCGTTAAAATTGGAACGATACAGAGAAGATTAGCATGGCCCCTCCGCAAGGATGACACTTCTATTTCGAACTAGGGTACGTTCGACTTCGACGCTACGCTGCGCGACTTCGAATTCGCTTCTCTAGTCTGCTATGCTCGACTTCGACCTTCTACTCTACTCTACTACTGGACTCACTACACTCGACCTCGACTGAGACTTCACTCTCTACTCAGCTACGCTCGGCTTCAACTTCGCTGCTCTGCTCTGCTCCGGGGTTGGGTTGTACAGCTTCAAGGTTTTGCTCTGATTGGGTTCTGCGTCGTGAAGGTTGGAAGCTCAGGTTCGGGTTGTGCATTGCACGGAGGCTTTCAGACGCCCGCGCTACCATGACCGAACGTGAGTAAACCCTCCGTTTTTGTTTCGTTTCCGGCGATTTTCTGCTCCTTTGATTTCTATGCTGTCTTTCTTGATCATCCGATCGATCAACGTGCCAAGTGCCTAGTTCGGCACACACACACAAACACGCACACACACACACACACACACACACACACACACACACACACACACACACA